AACATAAAACACGGCCTTTTCAAACATGGAAACTTGCCAATCCGAGCTGATCGCTTCATCGCTCGTCATGCTAAATTAAAACGAGTAATATCTCAGAAACCGTTGCAGCACAAACGTCAGTTTCACCTGCACAAATCAGCACAAACGAAGCACTAAAGAGGTAGACTATTATGGTCCACTTTGGAGCAGTTTGGAGTAGTCCGAGGGGACGGTGACCTCTGAATGACCTATACAATAAAGTTAAATATCTCAGAAACCATAGCAGCACGAACGTCAGCTTCACCTGCACAAATCAGCACAAACGGAGCACTAACCGAGCAGCCTATTCGCCTGCACTTTTGAAGCTGACGGGGGTCAGCTTCACAGAGCTTGAAGTCACTGGAGGACAAAACAGGTGATGCACTTCGCGCCGCAGCAGTAAAACGCATCAGACACAAACAAAAGACAGAAAACATAAAAGGAAATGAGCCGACATGAACGATCACGTGTTAACTTAGTTTTTGAGGTGGCGACACTTTGAGAATGTTACTGTGGCCGTGCTCAGGATGCATCTGTCTGGAGCGCGTCAACGATCAGAGCTCTGCACCTCTCAGCTCTGAATAATCCCCGGAGAGTCCACATAGACCGAAGTAGAACCATCGTTTCGGACTCTCCCTGGGCGTGTTGAGGGCTTCCAGGAGCTCCCTAGCTCACCTGTAATTCGAATCCCGCGTGTAGCACAAGTTTGTCGCGTGAGTTGCCGGATCCTAGCAGACAGTTGCCGGAACTGTCCTTTCAAAATAAGATAGTTCCCGGATCTTGTTCCGGCAACATCCGGCTCAAGTAAACAACTGCTTTAAGTACTTATAACTGCTCTTGAAACAAAGAATAGCACAAGTCTTAATAGTGCGAAGTTAGTGCCAAAGATGTTTCAAATGAGTTGTCGCCAATCTTTGTTTATTCCACTCAGGACTGCTGAGGCTCTGCTGGAGGGCGGCGAGACCAACCTGCAGAGTAAAATGTTTTGGGCTTCTGCTACAGTCTGCTGTGTTTAGATATAAAAATGAGGTATTAAAAAAATAAATAAGTAATGATCTCTTTTGAGATTTAATGGTTTGTAATTTACAAATATTCAGCTGTTTATGGAGGCTCACATGATTAGCATGTTTGCACGCTAACTGCAGAAGTTTAAGCATCAACATAGATGGTGTTTGCAACATAAACAACTTTGTCACGCAGAAGTGACATCATGTAAATACTTCAAACAAAGACACCAGACCGCTGTGAAACATTTTACTTTAATAGTTTCGTGTTGTATAAATTTGCTCTAATTTGTTCCGTTTTTAGGCTTAAACCTGAAACACTTTAAATAATGCAAGAATGTGTCCGTAAACGCTCAGCCGAATAAATCTGTCACGTCCAATCCTGGCACTTGAGGGTCACTATCCAATATGTTTTAACTGCCTAGTTTCTCGAACACATCTTACCGTATTTTCACGACCATAAGGCGCACATAAAAGTCTTAAATTTTCTCCAAAATGTACGCCGCGCCCTATGGTGCGGTGTGCCTATTGTGTTGTTGTGAGACGCAAACGTAGTAGAAGACAAGGGGCGTGGCGTGAACGTGCAGTTGTTCCAGTTGTTCTCATCAGATACAGAAGATGAGGACTTTGATGGATTTGATGATTATTTAATAGCACTCAAATAAAGCACAACCAAACTCATATTTGATCCCGCTGCCTTTTTTTTTTTTAAAAACAAAACACAATTCAAATCACACTATTTTCTTAGGCCTATTAATAACACACATATGATTGTGTTCATGTGGAAAGTTTATGTGGTTAAATCCACCAACTACCGGTAAACACATTCTGAACTTCAACACGGCGCATAAAGCTTGGTTTATGCTTGACGCATTCACTTTCCGCGCGGTGATGCGGCTCGCAGATGGAACGCGCTTCACAACTCGCAGCGTTTATGGTTCATGCGGCTTGTCTCTGCGGTGAGCCAATATTCTCCCAAACTGTAGGGGGCAGCATGGAGCTCTACGGCATGCATCCAACACTACACCATAGTAGAAGTAGAAACTACTGTTTACAACATGGCATTCCAGCATTTTTAACAGCGTTCTCGTCTTTTCCGACAGTGCGAGATATTTCTCTCCAAGAATTATTAACAACATGTTGATCACGGTGATCTCTGAGAGCTGAATCATACAAATGTCTGTATTTACCAACCTCTGCCATACTAGTTCTTGCTGGTTCGCCATGTTTTTCCGCGTCCGACCGTCCGCGTGGTTAGAAATTTTCCGAGGTGCGCGTTGCGGAAATTCTGGGCCGTGCGGAGACGCAGTGGAGGGGCGTGGTTGTTAAAATGACGCAAAATGACGCGACTTTTCCGCGCGGAGCTGTGCGGACCTCGCGGACGCGTCAAGCATAAACCAACCTTAAGAAGAGCACGAGCCGTCAGCGCACGCAATGAGGAAGCGCACGTGCGCTCTAAACCAGGTCTGAACCAGGACTAGACCAGTAAAGTGAAGCATGCTTTTGGCTGTTTATAATTTTCACGATGTCTGGTTTGCACTGATATGTTCCGATTCCCGAGCCCGCGCCCTGTAACCTGGTGCGCCTTTTGTACGTGTTAAATACCAAAAAGACACCCGTAACTGAAGCTGCGCCCTATAACACGGTGCGCCCTATGGTCGTGAAATAGTCAATTTGCAAGGATGTGTGGAACCAGAAGACATGTTGGAGAGGTCATTCAGTGACCGGACAGGAAACCAGTTAAATAAATAAATAAATAAATAAAAGTTAATGAATAAAATTTAATAAATAAAAGTTGCTGTTTGTCAGACAAAGGCAGTCGCTTCATTTCGTTAGTGTTGTCTAATGTGTGCTGTTTTACGTCTGCAGTACACATGGATGACGAAAGGGCTAAACTTTCTTTTGTTCATCACTGCGCTTGGAGAACGACTGAAATGGAACCATTATTACCAAACGACAGAGTAGATATTGAGTGATATTGCTTGAATGGAAAGACGTTTGAATAATGTCCACAAACTCAAAAAGCTAGAGCAGAACAACACAGACAAAAGGAAGGCATAGGGGCCCTGTGGTCTCTTCCTGTTCCTTATTGATGTAGAAAACATTTTAAGCTTGTGTATGGTCAACATTTCTGGAGAAAAAACTAAATCTAGGTTAGAACCTTCAGCTTGAAACATCTGAAAACATTCAACCATTAATATGAACCCGTGTGCCAGCTTTAATAATAATAATAATAATAAATTTTATTTAAAAGCGCCTTTCAGGACACCCAAGGTCACTTGACAGAAAACACGTAATAAAATACAATAAAACAATAATAAAACCCAAAGAAGAAAAAACAGAGAAACAGTTCAGTAAAATCAGAGGTTGTAGGCAGATTTAAACATGTGTGTTTTGAGTTTTGTTTTGAAAAGGGTAAAACTGTCGATGTTCCTGATGTCTGGGCGAAGTGAGCTCCAGAGACGAGGAGCAGAGCGGCTGAAAGCTCTGCTCCCCATGGTAGCGAGACGGGCAGAAGGAACCGCAAGATGGATGGAAGAAGAAGATCTGAGAGAACGGGATGGGGTGTGAATACTTATAAGGTCTGAGATATATGGAGGAGAGAGGTTGTGGATTGCTTTGAAGGTATGGAGGAGAATTTTGAAGATGGACCCAAATTTAACTGGGAGCCAGTGAAGCTGCTGGAGAACCGGGGTGATGTGGTGAAAGGAAGGGGTTCTGGTGATAATACGGGCAAAACCAGGATTTAAAAGCAAAACCAGCTTATATTATTCTCCCAAATTCTCTAAATAAGTTTTTTTTTTTGTTTTACTGATCAGTTCTTCCCAAGTTAAGTTGATGCTAACAGGAATTTAAGGACATTTTTCCACAGAAATGGATAAAAATGAAGGTTTTGTGTATTTAATAAATCACACAGAGTAGATGTTAACTTAAGACAACATGGTCAGCTACAGTCCCCACCACTCAGTGCCCACTTATCCTGCTGTTTACACCAAACGGTGCTGCTGCCGAATGTTTCCACTGATGTGTGACTAAGATTTGCTTTCCTAGAGACGTCCTTCCAGAAAACAGTTGCAAAAAGAAAAAATCATGGTGGTGAAAGTACAGAGATTTTAGAAATGTGTGTGTGTGTGTGTGTGAGTGTGGGGGAGGAAAGTACAAGTAGTAAATGGGAGGTGTAACCCGCCCTCACTGAAGGTATAAATTAGAGGAGGTGTGCAGCACGATACGTTGCACATCTTTCATCTCTTGAAGGTGACTCACCTGCAAAAGGAGCAAATTGTCAGGTAAGCTTTTGGGCTTTGAAGTTTGTTTTTGTTACAATGCTAAAAATATTCCACAGAGAAACTAAGTTGTAATATTTATTATTCATTTCTAGATTATTACTTTAGTTTGTTTTAGTGAAAGTGTAAAACTACAGAATCACATGAACTGCTTCTATAAAAGTCTAGATCAGATTTTTGGAACAAATATTTTAACTATTGTACAGAATCAGAATAAATCAGTTTATAGGAAATTATTTTAGGATGAATCATGGAATAAATATGTGCACTACATCCAAAAGGTTTTGTATAACTGTTATTTAGGAAAATTAAATATTTTCTAACGGTAAACGGATATACTACCATTTTTATTCCTCCATTTAAAGCGGAATTTAGACATTTGCGCCTTTGTTCAGAACCGCATGAGCCTATATAAAGGTTTTTTCCCCCCATCCAAATTAATTATAACCTTTCAGACTGTCTCCTCAAGGCCGCCTTTATTCTTTTTTTAGAAAAGATTTGTTGAATTGCTTCATTGTAATATCTAATTTTCAGTCGTGTGACTGCTTAAGGATCTCAGGCTCCATCCTTTGGTTTTTGTTCTTACATCACTCTTAGCTTGCTCCTATTACAAACAAAGGTGTACAAATATGATAAAGTGAATAAAAGTGAATTATTGTTTCTCTGTATCACACATCAGAAGAACAAGGTGCCAATGGGGCAGTTTGCATCCAGACGTAATGCGCTGGTCAGAAGCGTCTACTTCTCGACAAATGAAGAGGGGCCGCCCAGATACTCGTCACATCATTTTGATGGCAGCACCATGCGAGGCCGTAACCTACAAATCCCTCCCACCATCATCGTCTCAGATGAGGAATTAAGGTTGGAATTTGAAATAAATGCACACAGAAATTAGTTGGATCTGACAAAAGTACTGAAAGTAATAATAAAAATGTTATGAAATTTGAACCAGTGAAAGTCAGGCATTGCTTTTAAATGGAATTATTAAAAAAAATAAACTCATGGGAAAGGCCTAGACCAAAAATTATGGTACCCAAAGAAATAACTGGAAAAAATTTGTTCTTTTTCTTTGAAAAGGACAGCAGCCTGGGCGCCAAAAAGGCGTATCGCTGCCGCCACCACAACATAACCGGTACTACACCCTGCTTGAGCCTTTCATACACCCCCACGGCACAAAAGAAACCCATAAGCACCTTCACCCTCCGCCTGTCCCCAGCCTCCAACACCATCCCAAGGCTGAACACCTTCACCCCACACACCCACAGAAACCCAAACAAGTTGCGACACTCATACCGTCGGCAGTGCAACTGGACATGGACCACAGTTTCCTGGCCCGCACAATCACACTTCCCATCTGAGTTCTTCCCAACCTAGAACAGCCCGCTCCTGAGATCACAATAGCTCAGTCTCAGTTGGGTCAACACCACAGCATCCCGCCTCCCGCAACCCAAGTCCAGTTTTCAAATTCCATTTGACCTCTACAGTTCACAAAATGCCTTACCCATCACTCTCTCATTCCATTGAGGATTGCCACTGCTCCATAGCCACCCAGCTAATCACAGCGTGGCCTTCTGGGGATCCCACCCCCACACCCAAACCCGCCACATCACTCCCAAGCAAGCTCTTAGTCACCAAAATCAAAATCACCTCTTCATTACCACAAACCCCACATGAGAGGGAATTCACTTAAAACAAACATCACATTCTTCTCTCAACTTGAAAAGCATCAACCGGATAGAGAAGAGCAGCCATTTTACCCTCACCACGTGTCGCAACCCTGACTTAACCCATCGACAGGCCATTGGCATCTAACCCACTTCCACCTAAAGCACGGACACAGGAGTCACACAAAAGTCCCTGCTGCATACCCTCAAAGCAGCTGCATGCCCCACATCCAGCAGCCAAAAGGTCGAGGGAGGCACTGAACCATACACAAAACACCCATAGTCCAGGATTGATCTCAACACAGCCCTGTACATCATCAACCGAGAGCTCCTGTCCACCCCCAACCAGTCCCAGCCAAGCAGCACATGACATTTAGTACTCAACCACACCTGGCATCCAGACTGCTCATGCACAACCTCCAAGTCAGCCTCTCATCCAAACATAAGCCCAAATAATAAGAAGCCCCCCTCTTGAGACCCCAACGTCAGGCGCCCTTTGGGAACCCTCTTCCTAAAACCAAACACCACATACTTGGTCTTGGTCACCGACAACCTAAAACCCCAGCTCCTCGCTCAACCCTCCACCTCTTTCCAGACTCTTCTGCACCTACAGAGCATATGTGGCAGGTTCCGGCCTTGCTTCCAAAACGCACAATCGTCCACGAACTAGGACCTCCCCACATCACCCCCAATGAACCAAAAAACCATTAATTAAACATTAAATAGGACTGGGCTGATCACACTATCATACGGGACACCATTCTCAACAGACATGGACCTGGACAGAACGAACCCCACCCTCACCTGGATCCACTCAAAAAATCCCAAATCCAAAGCAACATCTGCTTCTGCACTCTAGCGCTATGCAGGGCCAAAAAAGGCCCTCCTTCTACAGCATGCCATAGGTCCTTTCAATGACCTAAAGCACCACCACCACTTCTGTATTGGACAGAGCCCACCGAACATCCAAATCAAATGGTGTCACAGCGTCCATCGTTGAGCAACTCAACCGGAAGCCATGCTGGAACGGTGCAAAAAAATATAAATAAAACAAATAAACGCTACTCTCCGATTGCAAAAGCAACTGCACCAACCTGGTAGACACCATGCATTCATCACCTTACAGAAATCAGGCCTGTGGGATCTAGGGCTGTGGGAAGCTTACCCGGTTTCAGGAAAGTTTCTGTTCAGCTGGCCATCGACTGGGCTCCCACACCAAAGTAATCAGGGTCAGAAGTTCCTCAATGAAGAGAGCCCCTGCATGGTGCAGCGATGGGTAGCCCAGACCATCCCGCCCCATTCTGGGTGGCCCACCTCAATTCACTCCCACAAATCACTGGCATAACACTCCACCGGACTTCCCAACCTAGAACAGCCCGCTCCGTGAGGGCGCACGGGGTTGGTTAGGGTTCCTCCTACAAGTGATCTAAAGCAGCTTAATCTATACATCTAAGTGTGGGTATATATATCCACCAAACTGGAGTGGCCGTTGTCCATGACACCATACGGCGCACACTGCAGAGGAATGGCATGTATGGGTATTGTCCATGAAGGAAGCCTCTCCTAAAGCCCACGTACAAAAATAGCACACGTCGGATTTGCTAGGGTCCATGCTGAAAGAGTTGAAGACTACTGGGAATCTAGACTCTGGAGTGATGAGACAATGATCTCTTTTTTAAACTAATGGTTTCAAACCTGCATCACAAAGGTGAGGATTTCAAAGAGAAATGCATGCTGCCTACGGTGAAACACGGTGGTGGCGGTGTCCTCATGTGGGCTATTATTTGTTCTTATTTATTTAAGAAGCATTTTTTTTCTTAAATCAATATAATCCAGTTGCCTCAAAAATGTAATCAATGAACAAAAAATGAAAGTCTTTCAGATTTGCTACATTCAACTAAGTTTAAGATAAATAATTTCAGTTGATAAAATTTTTTGTTTCCCATGAACGTGGTGTTGAAATGAAATGAAAAGTCTTTTTAAAAATGTTCCTTCTGCTTTGTACCTTTTACCAACAGCACGTCAGAGCACCATGGCTCGAGAGCAGAGCTGCGCAGATCCTCCGTCTATAGCACCATGGACCTGGTGCCCCAGTTGGGGAATTACGCCAACTCGTTGCCTCATCAGACAATGAAGAGCAGGCCCTCTCTTGAAACTCTACGCAAAACATCTGAGGCAAGCTTTTGCGTCTCCTTGATGTTGTAGCCAGGTCAGGAGGATGCCCATCCTTGGACGTGTCTAATCAAACATAAGCCAGCTTGTAGATGTGTGAGCTTCGCCCAGCTGAACAGATCTTGTCACATCCAATCAACGAGTCTCTCACAAACACAGAAGAGTTTGTTCACTCGCCCACTAATCACTGTGAGATGAATGCTCTGGGCCCTTCTTTATCTTCATGATTCAGAAAGCAACTCACCCCAACACCAGAGTCTTATCTCTTTAAAGCTCGAAGCTAAAATGAATGCACTGCCGCTCTTTTCCTCACTTCCCCCACCCTACAGCTGCTGCTGCAGCTACTTTATTAAAATATTGTCATTTTCTTTGAACCACGGACGAGCAGCTGGTACATGTTAGCACTTCTGGAGCACACACACCACTACTTAAAGAAGAGATTAAGTCATGCAACAACAGGAACTATGGTAAAACCTATTAAAAGTGTAAAATTGCACTCACTTTGAGATGATTGCCAAAGACAACTGAGAGTGAAAATCATCATTTATTTCTACTGCAAATTATTACAAATAAATAATGTGTGAATGAAAATATGATTATCAGTGGTTAATACGTGATTTTTCCAATGAAAGAAACACATTGACAACCAAGTAAAATCTTGAAGCAGCATTCTACATTCACTTGTATTGGTTGCACTCTCACAGGTAGCACAGGTGGGAATTGATGGAGGCACCACATCAGACTCAGGGAGCCAGCCAGAGCCAGATGTTGAAAGTGTCGAGTCTCATGGCGCTTCAGAAAAGGCTCCCGTTAGATTTGGCTGGATAGTTGGAGTCATGGTAAATGTTTTCTTTATTGTGGATTGTTGTCAACAGAATAGGTTTAAAACTGTATGACTACTGACTATCATACAAACAAAATTTGGCTCACAGGTTCGTTGCATGCTGAATATTTGGGGGGTCATCCTGTTCCTCCGCTTGTCGTGGATCACGTCCCAAGCAGGCATTGGTGAGTAAACTCTTCATTCATTTGTCTCACCTGCTACAGAGAACCCACTCATTCAGAAGTTCATCTTCAATTTTTTTTAAAAGTGCGAGATCGACACTAAAGAAAGAATACCACATGCAGCCGAACATTTCACGGTCCTTCAACGTAGAGAATCCCCGCTGCATGGGTGGGAATGTGTCTGAATCTATGGTGTCAGTCACCATGGTACACCTCAGATTGGCCCACCCAAGACCCTCTCACAGTCATAATAGTTACCGTAAAAACAAATCATTTCTACAGAATATAACTTTTTTGAATTTTATTCTACAATTTTTTTGAGATCCAGTTTACTGCTCGATCAGACAAAACATGTGTTTGCACCTAAGAAACAAACAGTCTTATGCATGATTGTGGGGTGTTGGAACATCAATCAAATCAAAATCAAATATAATTTATTAATCCCAGAGAGACATTAGAGTTTCAGTACACACAATTCAGAGATCAGACATACATGGGCAAGACACATGACAAGAATTGGTGACTGTGGTCATTCGCAACCCTGAGTCACGCTCCCTTAACAGAGATAAGAGGGCTTTACATGAGGATTGGTTCAGGTGGAGGGAAAAAAGGCACTTCAGAGTTACCCTCCACCAGGAGGGCAGCTTTGCTCTGCAAAAACACCTCAAACAGATTGTGTTGTCTGAAGTCTGTTGCATAAGTGTCCACTAGGTGGGGTGGTGGGTTGGGACTATCCCTACTTCAGTTCCTGCAGCCTGCATGTAGTAATCATGCATTTTGTACTTTTTGTAATTTATCTTATCTTAGTTAAAGGGGGTAGGTCATGTAAGATTTTTTCTTCTTCCTCCGCCTATTTCACTCAAATGCTTGTATTCTGGTTGGCAATTGTATTCTGATTTGAAGTTTGTACATTTAAATTTTGAGTGAAATAAAATTATTGAATTGAATTGCATCTATGATTAGGAAAGTCCAGATTGTGTCTCCTGCAGATTTCTCTGAATGTGTCCACTGCCCTTTAGACTTATATTAAACCACTTCTATCTAATTAATTAAATGTAGCTTTTGTGTGGTGATGGGATTTATGCTCTTTCATGGGAGCCGTTCTTTAGGCGGTCGTTTACCTCAAAGAGCCGTTCAAAAGACTGTCTCCTTTGAACGAAGTGAAGCCAAGAGAGCGGGTGGGTGGGGGTGGGGGTATTAAGAGCAACGTCTTCCTGCGGCGTCCGTGAGGGTGCACGGGGTTGGTTAGGGTTCCTCCTACACTCGTCACAGCGGTGGGTGGGGTTTGAGAGGGTGCACTTTACCGACTTTCGGGGAGGTTTGTTACCGGAAGACAAGATGAACGGCTCTCTAGAGGGACTCGACTCATTGTTCACTTTAAAAACCCGTTCAAAAGATTTGATTCGTTCGTGAACGTCACATCACTACTGTTGTACATTGCCTATTCTAATTTTCCCTATTAGCTAAATCATGTAAGTAAACTCTTGAAACTAAACAAGCTAAACCACCATGCAGCTTGTTCTATTGCATTGTAAAGAACTGTCAAACGTTTAGGGTTAGTAGCAACTGGGAGGTGCAGAAAGTATAAATACAACGTAAGATGCATACATTTTGTTTAATATCTTTATATTTTCTGTGACAGTGTTGACTTGTGTTATCATCCTGATGTCTGTGGTGGTGACCACAGTGACTGCTCTCTCCATTTCTGCCATTGCCACCAACGGGAGGGTGGTCTCAGGTGAGTCTCCGCCTTCAGGTGGAAACAATAAAATAGATTCCTGAAAAGCACAGCAGAGAAAAACAAACACAAACCACACAACCAAGCGAATTGGAAAGCGAACAGCAATCAAACAGATGAGGTTATGGAGATTTTGTTCCAATTCACTTTACACGTTATTAAAGTTAATTTTCACACACACAGGAGAAATGACATCTCTGCACTGAGTCTTTGGTTTGACCTGACTGGATTTGAACCTTGATCTCTCAGTCCCAGGGCAGGCACTCTACCACTAGGCCACAATAGATTTGATCTTCACATGGCTTCCTATTTGGGATGGTCAGCAGGTTACATGACATATAAATGGCCAAATGGCAAATCTACATTATGCAGCAAGGTAATCAAAGGGGTGCAGAACATATTTTATTTGCATCGTTTTGTTCAACAATAATAAAGTTTAAACAGTTTCAAATAATCTTTAGATTTGGTTAAAAAGGCTACATTTGAAACTGGAAGTTTCTGTTTAAAATTAACTGACAAACTGGATCACAAGCACAAAAGTTACTTGAATGTGGTCTAAAGGAGCTTAATCTATACATCTGAAGTAATCCATGTTTCATTCTAGGGAAAGATAGATGCTAGAAAAGACATGGATCAGTGAAACCAATGGGAAAGAATAAAAGAAGCACACAGAAGCCAAGTGATAGTTTGACAAATATCTAGCCCTTTTACTTTGGTCATTTTTGTGTTTCAATGTTTTGTTAGCAGTTCTGATAAGTTTTGGTCTATACATTGTACTACAGGTGGTGCATACTTCATGATCTCCCGCTCTCTGGGTCCTGAGATTGGAGGGCCCATTGGCATGGTCTTCTCCTTTGCCAATGCACTGGCGTGTGCACTCAATACTGTTGGTTTTGCAGAGGTGGTCCGTGATCTGCTGCAGGTACTATTGTGATTTTTGGTGTTTTGTTTATTTTTAATTTTTTTGTCATGCTAGGATTTTTTTTTAGGCCGTGTAACTTACTACACAGCGCCTCATGGTCTTTATCTTGAGAGGCGCCATATAAAAGATAATTTTCTTTCTTTCTAACAATAGTGTGTTGCTACAAAAATGGCGAGAAAAGGGCAATTAACAATGGAAGAGAGACAGACCATCATAACACTTAAAAATGTAGATCGTTCCTACAGAGAAATTGCAAAGAAAGTCAAGTCGCCAGTGAGTACAGTTTCCTTCACTATCAAAAGGCACTCTGGGGCAAACTCTGACAGGAAGAGGTCTGGCAGACCCAAAGCCACAACTGCATTAAAGGACAAGGTTCTGAGCGTTAACAGCTTGCGTGATAGACGGCTCACAGCACAACAGCTTCAAGCGCAGCTTAATAGTGGTGGTCGTAGTACGCAAGCCTCAGTTTCAACTGTGAAGTGAAGACTTGGAGCTGCAGGTTTGACAGGGCAAGTTGCAGCAAGAAAGCCACCGCTTAGATGTCAGAATAAGACAAAGAGGCTTGCCTGGGCCATGAAACACCGCCATTGGACTACTGAAGACTGGAAGAAAGTATTATGGACTGATGAATCCAAATTTTAAATCTTCGGAGCATCACACAGGACGCCATCGAGTAGGTGAAAGGATGGTTTCACAGAGTGTGGCATCAACTGTCAAACACGGATGAGGAAGTGTGATGGTCTGGGGCTGTTTTGCTGGATCCAGGGTCGGTGACTTGTGCAGAGTCAGAGGCACCATGAACCAAATCGGCTACCACAGCATTCTCCAGCGCCATGCAGTACCCTCTGGTATGTGTCTAGTTGGTCAGGGGTTCATCCTACAGCAAGATAATGACCCAAAACATAAGTCCAAGCTACGCCAGAACTACCTCAGGAAAAAAGAAGAAGAAGAAGAAGCATTTATTGTTATTTTCTACCACATGTGCAGGACATACAGAGAAATGAAAATTCAGTTTCAGCACACACAATTCAAAGATCAGACATACGTGGGTAAGACACATAACAAGAATTGGTGACTGCGGTCATTCGCAACATGAGTCGCGCTACCTTAATAGATAGATGAAAAGGGTGTTACATGAGGATAAGTGGGGGAAGGTAAAAAAAGGCATAGCAGAGTTAGCCCCAGCGGGGAGTAACTCTATTATACAAAAAAACTCCTTTCAGCATGGAAGCACAAAACAGCACAGATACAACATCAGAGTCCGATGGGGAGGCAGGGTTGGGCGGGATCCTGAAGCCTCCAACGGGAGCTGCCACTACGACGCATCGACCAGCTGCAGACCAACAGGTGGGAGGGAGAGATAAGGACCAGAGAGCACATTGAAGTTCCCGCAGACATGTCAGTCTGAAGGAAGAGGGTGAAGGTCGGGACACAGCATCTGTCGGCATTCCTCCTTTCGTGGGGGGGTGTTGAGGCAGCCTTGAGAGGCTGCTATGGCGTCAGATAAGGATAAACATGACTTTGTTTAGGGCAGGCAGCGATAATTTTCCCCTCCGCCTTGGAGTCTCTAAGTGGTCATTCATGTCCACCAGTGAAGCCAATTTTACATTCTAAACATCCCCGCATCGTCCGGCGACCCTCTCCGAGATCAAATCCATCTTGCGTACTATCACAGGCAATGCCGTGAGGACATTGTCCAGCTTACGGTTCACCTCGAGTAACGTCCCAGATCAAGATAGTAAGCTTGTAAACATGGAGTGGTCAGCACAGTCTCCAGACTTATGGGCTCGACACACGGGAGGCGACAAATGACCGCGATCAGCGAAATTTGTCGCTGTCGCTTTTATTACCTGACAAACGGGAGGCGATCCGCGGCCAGCGGCAAAGCCGTCTACGTGTTCTGTTCCATGGCGAAATCGAAACTTCCATTCTTTTATTTGGCTGTGTCAGGAAGGAGGGAATTAAGGTTATTTAAGCGGTTCAGAGTTAATAAAGCGGTAGATATGATGTTTCACAAGGTGCTGCTGGAGTTATGTGAAATCTTACTCTGATTTTACTATAAAACATAATAATAATCAACTTCTCCTCCATGTTTGCTCGGAGGTGTACGGAGCATCCTGTCCGCTCGTTGGTCAGTGAATGAAACCTCCGTTGATTGGTCCTCGTCCGAGCGACAGCGATGAAAAGTTGAAAATGTTTCAACTTTCTGGGATCGCGTCGCTGGGTCATCCGTGCACGACACGTGCACGAGCGCAAAATTTCACACTCACGTTTTTCGCGTTTCGCTTGGTAGGAGGGAGACCCGCGATCATCGCTTTGTTGCGCATGTCTCATTGAAAATGAATGGAGGAGAGGCGATGTCGCCTCCCGTGTGTCGAGCCCATAAAACCCATCTAGCTGGTTTGGGATGAACTGGACAGAAGAGTGAAAGCAAAGCAACCTATGGGAACTTCTGCAACAGACATGGGAAGAACTTTCTGAAGAATATTTTTTTCTATTACAAAAAGAATTTTTAACTCCAATTGCTTATTTGTACTATGCTTTCATTTCAGAGTGCAATGTGACATCAAACTGCATCATTTCCAATTAAAAAAACTGGAAAATTTGGGGCATTCTAAAACTTAAGTTAGATGTAAATATAATAGAAGTTTAATGCTTCAGTCATTTTTGAAGGAAGGTTAAATTGAACCATATTTCATATCCAGCTGGCTCTGAGTCTGCACAGGCATCCCAGCCTTTTTTCAGATTTGCAGGATTTGCATTTATTCAAATCTCAATAACTGAGTGAGATGTTTCTGTTTCTTTTAATTATTTGATTTAAATGTTCTGGTTTGTTGATGCAGGAGTTTAACGCTGTCATGACTGATGCAGTAAATGATGTCCGCATTGTGGGTGTGATCACTGTGACGGTTCTCCTGTTCATTACACTGGCTGGAATGGAGTGGGAGTCTAAGGTGGACACACTTAAAACACTTTTTCATACGGAAATCTGGAACATATGTAAATCTTTCTTATTTGCTTTAATTCATATTTTCTCCAATCTTTTCTTTCCCTTACAGGCTCAGATTTTGTTTTTCTTAGTTCTTTTGATCTCCCTTGCAAGCTACTTCGCAGGAACGATAATTCCTCCTCCTCCTGAGAAACAGGCAGTCGGCCTCTTTGGCTACCAAGGTAATGTTGGACAACAGATTGCATGAGATATTTGTTAAAGAGGAAAATCATTGCTTTCTACTTTTAATAACATCTATATTGTGTCATTTCTCACCAAAGAATGTCTAAAATGGTAAATGGTAAATGGTCTGTATTTGATATAGCGCCTTCTAGAGTCCTGGAACCCCCCAAGGCGCTTTACAACACAATCAGTCATTCACCCATTCACACACACATTCACACCCTGGTGGGGATGAGCTACGATGTAGCCACAGCTGCCCTGGGGCGCACTGACAGAGGCGAGGCTGCCGAGCACAGGCGCCGCCGGTCCCTCCGACCACCACCAGCAGGCAAGGTGGGTTAAGTGTCTTGCCCAAGGACACAACGACAGCGACAGACTGAGCGGGGCTCGAACCTGCAACCTTCCGATTAGTAGAAACGTTTACCTCCATCTTAAAATCCATAGTCTCACGATCTGAAAATGGACCCATTCACGTGGGTAATGATGAAAGTCGTGTTTCGTCGTGTTTTAACGTTTTCTTGTATAAACAGCTTTTCTGACCAGGTCAAGTGTGTCTACCAGTAGTGATGCAAGACATGAATGCATATAATGTGACTTTCTTAAAGGGAAACTAACAAGAACTTCTTTTTGGTCTTCTCCATAGGTGACATCTTTGTAGAGAATCTAACACCAAACTGGAGAGGCTCTGAGGGGAGTTTTTTCCAGATGTTTGCCATTTTTTTCCCGGCTACCACTGGCATTCTGTCTGGAGCAAACATCTCTGGAGACCTTAAAGTATGAAAACATAAACACACACACAACACTCAGAAGGATTGTGAGGATGTAGAGCAGCCAGAAGGTCTTAGGAGCAAACTGCAGCACAGGGACATTTTCCCTTGGGAGCCAAAATGCTCCTCAGGCATTTATTTCATTGCTTTCTTTTCACAGAAAAAAAAACCCTCAAGCCTCCACCTGGTTTCCTTTAAATACCCCAGAAAATCACACCTGCAAACAATCAGCCCCAATCATCAGTGCTCCAACATTAAACCCAAAAGGAAACAAATATCCACATAAATGTACCTAAGTGTTAAGAAATACAAAAGACAAAACTGTTTCTACAATACAAGAAACAATTTTACACTAATAGCAAAGAAACAAATCCCACTTCCTTTGGTTTGTCCAAATGAAGCAGCCAATCATGGGATGATCCAGGGAGGTGGTACTGGGTGGGCCCTCCCCTCACAACCTGCTCTGGATACAAAGCAAACATGAAATCCCAAATGGGAACTACATCAACATACCAACAAAACTCATTACATCCACACCAGTGCAATATTCACATTTCAGTCTGGTTAAAATGTTCCCCATCACAGTGCCAGCAGGCTACAGAAATAAATTCCAGGGGCGAATGGGAAATCATCCATTCCACTTCGTCACAAGGATATAAATGCTGCCTTTCATGTTGTTTGTCTCTACAGGACCCTGCTACTGCTATCCCCAAAGGCACCTTGATGGCCATTTTCTGGACAACAATCACCTACCTGTTGATATCAGTAACAGCCGGTAGGTTGTTCTTTCAGTATACAGCTGCTTTGTACTTTTACGCCCTCAATTAGACTTTTTATAACCTGAAATAAAAGGAATAATTAGTCGGAATTCTCGCGCTGCTCTGGGTGGCTGCATGTTGGAGTAGCTCTGTTAACTACATGTAAGTTTTTGCCTTTTTGGACCTTTTTTTCTTCTAGCATCTTAAGAAAAACTGTATTTTTTTGGACCTTTTCCGTTTCCATTTCTGGTGCTGTGAAGCTTAGAGGATTTTTACTGCTATTTTTTCACTTTTTCGCTTTTTGAGCATTTGTTATGATGCGTAACCATGGTAATAAGCTGGTTTACAGTCGGGAGCAGCTGATTAACACTGGGAAGGATGAAATAATACCTCAACTGAAGCCACAAATCCCAAATGAGCTAAAACGCAAGAAGCGTGGGTGCAGAGCGGGAGCAAAATGGAGACAGAGAAAGAGGAAATTCAAACCATCTCTTCCATCGATCATAATGGGCAATGTGAGATCACTGGCCAACAAGATGGATGAACTCCAAGCCCTCTCAAGGACTCAGCCAGAGTATCGGCAGTGCAGTGATATGTGTTTCACTGAGACGTGGCTGCAGGACCATATCCCTGATTCCAGCGTCTTTCTGCCAGGATTCCTGACTGTATGAGCAGAAAAGAAAAAGAGGTGGAGTGGCAGTGCTTGTCAACAACAGATGGTGCCATCCAGGTCATGTTTCAGTGAAATGTCGTCTCTGCAGCCCAGATGTTGAACTCTTGGCAGTAAGTTGTCGCCCATATTATTTGCCAAGAGAGTTCACCAGTGTTGTCTTGGCAACCATTTATATTCCACCTTAAGCCATTGCTGAAAATGCATGTGATGCCATCAGTTCCGTTGTCGCTAAGCTACAAACCCAGCACCCCAATGTATTTGTGGCTATATCTGGTGATTTTAATCATGCCTCACTCTCTGCTACACTTCCAACATTTCAACAGTTTGTCAGCTGATCCACCAGAGAAAACAAGCCATTGGATTTGTGTTATGCAAATTTAAAGAATGCATACATGTCCAAAACAAGACCTCCCCTGGGACATTCAGATCACAGTCTTGTTTTTCTCTGCTCCGAATACAAACCATTTGTTCAGAGGCAACCTGTGACAAGAAGAACTGTTAGAAAATGGTCACAGGATGCTGAAGAAGCCCTGCAGGGTTGTTTTGAGACCACAGATTGATACCAAAGTGCCAAAAGTACCAAATACCTTGGAGTTCACCTGGACAACAGACTGGACTGGAGAAAGAACAGCGAAGCCGTTTACAAGAAGGGACACAGCAGACTGCACTTCTTGAGGACGCTAAGGTCCTTCAACGTCTGTAGCAAGATGCTGCAGATCTTCTACAAGTCTGTTGTTGAGAGTGTAATCTTTTCAGCCATCGTCTGTTGGGGTAGCAGCATCAGAAGCAGGGACCTGAAAAGGCTCAACAGCCTAATAAAAAAGGCTGGTTCTGTTCTGGGGACGACTGTGGAACCGCTGGAGGAGATGATGCAAAGAAGGATTCTCCAGAGAATCAAGAAAATGATGGACAACCCTGAGCATTCTCTCCACAAGACTGTCCGACAACGGAAGAGTGTCTTCAGTCAGAGGCTTCTTCAGTTTGGCTGCAACACTGACCGCTACTGGAGATCCTTCCTGCCAACAGCCATTGTAATATACAACACCTCTTTGATGACTTGATTATTATTATTATTCTGAGCTACTACAGCAATCAATTTCCCTCTGGGATTAATTAAGTATTTTTGAATTGAATTGAACTAACGGTTAATAGTCAATACTCATTTTGTACTAGTATAGATAGGAGAGATTACACTCAAAAGTAGGGCTCTTCAAGGCACTGCTCACCCTTATCTGTCAGTAGTACTACATAGGTATGTCCCATCCCAGTCCGAGCAGGGGCTGTTGGTGGTTCCCCGTTCCAAAGACAGATCGGGGGGTGGGGGGTTAAAAGTAAAAGGAAACTGCTCACTTTTTCTCTTCACCAGTGCCTTGTGATTTTTATCTTGAGAGGCGCTATAGAAAAGATCTTTTCTTGTTTTTCTTCTACCAGATATCAATGATTTTCATGAAACAGCTCACTTCTACTAGTTTGGGTTCAAACTTCACCAAAAATCAATGATTTTCATGAAACTGCTCACATTTTCAGAGAGAAATAAAAGAGCAAAAAAGAAAAAAAAAGAAGGAAAAAAAAAAAAAGAAGACGCAGTTTTGACCACAATGGTCTGGAACAAGTAGCTTTTAACCCCGGTTTCACACTGAAAGCATCAGCGGTGCGGAACGGCAGCGGAATGTCACTGCTTCAGGTAGAATCCATTACCTGTATAGTCTGTGGAGGGTTTCAAACCAGCAGCAACACGGCAACTTCCAGGCACATCCCAGAAGCGGCACGCCGCGCCGCAAAGATCGGGTTCTATTTTTGCCTCGTGCCACTTCTGGGATGCATCAATTTCTGTAGTTAACATAGGGCTAGACAGGAAATCACACACGGTTTTATTGTGAAATCACAGGTAAATTTCAAAATAAAAGTACTGCAGTGGTGCAACTTCATATATGTGAAGCGTATGTAATGTCTTATTGACTCACAGCATCATTCCCGAAGTGCAGTGGCGTTTTTTCACGCCTTTATTCCTGGCAGTGGAGAGGAACAACGTCATATGCGACATCAAACAGCGATATCAATCGTATTTCTTTTTTTTTGGTGTAATGGCAGATTGCATAAACAAACCGTGACCCAAAGTCTTGAGGAATTGTGTGATCTCGCAAGACCAGCGAAGAGCACAGCGAGGAAGCCATGCCGCTGCAAAGACTCTCTTGGTGTGAAAAGGACCAAAGTTCGCGAGTAAACCGTTCCTCTGCCGTTTCGTGCCGCTGAGGCTTCCAGCGTGAAACCTGCGTACGTGTTGGGCAGGAAACACCATTTGAGGTCTTTAAGGCTTACCTGAAGACATTTTAATCGGATGGCGTTTCAGTGATAGGGATCATAATATAACCTGGATTTGTTTTTCTTTTTTTTTTTTTATCTCATTTTAACATGTTTTTTTTTGTCACTTTGTGTTTTTAGTTGACTTACTTTGAATGTTTCATGTTTGTTTTTATTTAATCTTTTTATTTTTACTTTAATTTACCACAACACCACATTTGTTCTCATCATGTGATTTCATAATAGTGTTCAGCACCTTGAAGGTGCTTTCTAAATGCATAAACTGAAACTAAACTGAACTATAAGCTGGCTCCCCGAAGGCTAACCCCCAAATTCCACTACCTCCGCTCCGCTGCGCTCCGCTCCGACACGAACGCCGGTGCAAAATCGGTCCCGTTGTAGTCAATCAGAGCTATTCCACTACTGCGGCTGTGCTCCGGCAGTGCGGCGCCGTGCGCCGCCCTCTGTTCCGGCGTCCGGCAAAAATAGGATCGATTCTAAACAGCTCATGCCGATGCTTCTCCCACACAACGGGTGTTTGGATCTAACTTCCACGTTTATTGCTCGGACTGTATCGCAAGATCTCGAAAATCCCGCGCATGTTTGTTTGCCCACCTCAGGTCTCCGACCCGGAGCGGAGCCATTGTAAAGCGGGTACCAGTAAAAATTGAGCTCGGAAGCGAGCGGCTGCGGAGGGCGGGGGCGGACCGGAGCGGAGCGGAGGTAGTGGAATCTGGGGGTAAGACCAACCAGCCATTCCTCCCCATCCCCACACATTTCTCTCCTCCTGCTCCCTTACAATGTCATACAAACAAGCACATAGGACCTTGGGGGGTGGACAAATCAGAGAGTGTGGATATGGACCCCATTTCTGCATTCCTGTGGCAACCTGCCCCCCAGTTTTATTTGCACCTTAAACACTTCCACCAACAACATTCCACGCAAACACACACTTAGGGCCTTGGGAGTGAGCACATTCAACGGCAGTTGGCAGGGGGATATCTCAGCCTCATCCCAAGTGCCGGTGGCCACTTCCAATTTTAAACCGCACTTAGACACTGAGGGCTGTGGGTGCAAGTGGGGTGGTGCGGTGGCATCAGCTGGCATAGGCCAGATGATGCCCGCACTGCCCGCTCACCACAGCCATGGAATACACCTCATCAACACTCACTAACACCATATTGGAGCAGGCGGAGGGAGACTAGGGGTCTTAGCACACCTCTGTTGTTGCTTGGCTTCCTGGGGCTGAGGCTAGGAGGGAGATCCGGCCGTCCGGTTGGGGTCTGGGTTGGTGGGTTGCTGTGCCCAGCGTTGGGCGGGGAGCCTGCTCATCAGCACCCCAGCAGAAAGGGTCAAACTCTGGGAACCGGTGATGGTTGTACCCAGTGTGCAGCAGTACCGGGACCAGAGTGAATAGGGTGTGTATGGGAAGAATGAGTGGGTGTCCGGCGTGCATTTTTGTAAGTCTTTGGTTGTTTGTGTATGTGTGAGCATGAGGGAGGGAGTGTGTGACTGTGTTTGTGTATGGCTGTATATGTCAGGTGGGGCCTTTGACTCCTCCCTTCTCCTGGGACTTCTTTTGATGATATAGATCTTCGTCTCCCCTCCCCCTGCCACACCTGGTGTGGAGTGCGGTGCCTTGGTCTGCCTGGGTCGTGGCTCCCGGGTCAGGGAGTTTAAGATTTTTGGCGTCGGCCTGATCAATCCCGGTGGCTGCCTGGTGGGGTCTGGGTCCCTGGGCTTTGCTGGGTCCCCGGCGGGGGTGGTCGCCCCTGGGTCCCGGGTCGGATGGTGCTCTCATAAGTATGGACTTGGGCACGTTCAACACAGCTCTTAAGGCTGTGGTTGGCACTAAATGCACTGTGATTTATTATCGTGTGATTGTTCAGTAAAACAATGTTAATTTTATATTTCTTCATTAGGCTGACGCAGTGATAGCTTGATCTTGTTGTATTGTTGTTGTGTCTCATTTTTTTCTTCTCTCTTTCTGCAGGTCTAGAAGCAGACTCTTGTTCATTATTGTTTATTTTTGTGGAACACCCTCCACCCACCCCAGCTTTTGTCTCTTCCTTTCTCTTTCACCTCTGTCTCCGTGTCTGGTCGGAATTACAAAGCATTCAAAAACAATAACAATAAAGTTTTAAGTATCAGGCGTGAAATTAAAAGCAGACGCTTTGATGCTCCACCTGAGAGTAAATCTGTAAGGCTTGTCACCAGCATTCAGACATCAATTCTGTTTGCTTCACAGCCAGACAGGACCCGGGGGGAATAAAAATAAAAATAAATAAACTGAACTATAAGAGAAAAATGTACAAGTAAATAATAATGGATCCAGTGTTGTACCTTAATTAAACGTTTGTATTGGATTTCCTCTAGGGGCTTGTGTAGTGCGGGATGCTTCTGGCAATATGAGTGACATCATTGTTGGAAACAGCACAGAAGGCTGTGTGGGACTTGCATGTAAACTAGGCTGGAATTTCACAAACTGCATCGAGTCACAGTCCTGTCGGTATGGGCTATCCAACAGTGTAAAGGTACCGCTTTGTTTGCCTTCAAAGATCATCACCATTATGGCAAATTACACTAAGAATGAACTTTTTCATGTAATTTGTTCAAATCTACACATTTCTTGATGCGTTCAGGTATTGGGGCAACTTTCTGGGTTCTACTACCTCATCACCGCTGGTGTCTTCGCAGCCAGTTTGTCCTCTGCTCTTGGATTTCTGGTTTCAGCACCAAAAGTCTTTCAGGTGAGAAACCATCAAACCCAAAGAGCGGTTTCCTCAGCCAACTGTATCTGAGTACAGATTTTAATCTCAAACAGTGGAAGTGAAGATTATTTATAACCTTTCCATAGCTATTGCATACAACACTGTAGAGTCTACAGCAGGGGTGTCAAACTCATTTTAGCTCAGGGGCCACATTGAAGGAAATCTAGTCCCAAGTGGGCCGGACCGGTAAATTAAAACCAACTTCAGATTGTTTTCTTTGTTTTAATACAATCAATATAAAACAAGGCTGGAGCCTGAGGACAGTGTATCCAAAATAGTACAAGTACAACACCTGAAGTGTACTTGAAAATTTGATAAATAAATAAATAAATAAATAAATAAATAAATAAAACATTCCTTAGTGATTCAAAGAGCTTACAGATCACGTGGGTAGATCAGTTTCATGCAGCACTTAAAGTATATTTGACTCATTTTACTTTACATCTTTTAGCTTTCGCCAGCACATCAACATCAGAAGTCACATCCTGAGTGGCGGCCAACTTCAGGAAGTGATTCAAGTTCTTGTGTGAGCCTTGAGCGCAGCTTTGTTTTATTTATGCTCATTACAGAGAAAACTTGCTCACAAAGATAAGTTTATTTTCACTCTACATTGTAAAGTATGAAAATAAATTTGCACAACCATCTCGCGGGCCGGACTTAACCTGTTTGCGGGCCGGATTTGGCCCGCGGGCCGCTCATTTGACACCCCTGGTCTACAGTGTTAGTGCAAAAATAAGTTTGTTTCCAAATTAAATGGTTCAAAATTGCATATATGTTGATAAAGAAAATGGAGAAATTTTCCGTCACTTTTTCAAAAACGATTAAGTTTGGCCCGCGACTTCATCCCAGATTTTCATTTCGGCCCCGTGTGAATTTGAGTTTGACACCCCTGCTGTAGACATATAGATGTTAGGAGTTTGGTTCCGATTCTCGCCAGTAGTTATGATGCCTGTTTCATGTTGTTGTGTTTAGATCTTTAAGGACACATGCTTTTAATTTCCAACATATTTTATTATTTCTAGCTATATAGAAATATATTGGGCAGTTTCAAAATAAAGCTCATATCTGTACAAACTCTTCAAAATAAAGGAATGAGACTAACCCCTTAAGGCAGAAATTTGGAAGCAATGACAATGAAAACAACTTTTTACGGTTTTGTCAGAAAATTGACACCTGCCACCTGCGAGCCCTCCACTAGAGAGCGTCAGACATGTATAGATTTGAGCGGCGATCGGAAACCCTGATCTTTGATTACGACTCTTTCGCTCATATTCTAGTCGTTTTCCTACTCCAACACACTTGGTTTAAACCAACGTGTCTTTGACGGGTTTCTGCAGCACTTGATGAGCTGCTAAATATGTGAATTAGCCAGTAAATCAGGTGTGATGGAGCAGTGAAACAACTAACACATGCTGGATAGTTACTTACCCCCGTTTTAGAGGACAAAATGAATCTCAGTACGTCATCTGGAAGTTCTCAGGCCAGAGAAAGTTTGATGCAAACTTGAGAAACTTTGTGCACGAGGGCTTAATAATTGGTCACATTAAAACAATGTTTCTAAGAATTTACTTTTTCCGCTTTGGAATAGTTGTGATATATCAAGGAAGACTGTTTTCATTTTATTGGTTTAAGAACATTCGATAGGTACTTTTGGTTTACAATTAAGAATTTAACAGAGATTACGTAAAAAAAAGTATTTTTTTACATTTTATAATTACAGACAAAACATTTTTATTACGTATATATTTGTAACATTTTTCTTTTTTTCAGTGCTTGTGCAAGGACAACATCTACCCATACATTATATACTTTGCGAAGGGTTATGGGAAAAACAGCGAACCACTCCGGGCCTATTTGCTCTGCTATCTGATATCTGTAGCCTTCATTCTCATTGGTGCGTTTACAAATATTTATTCCTATAAAGTTGCAGCGCGCTCAAAAATATATTCTTTCAAGTTCTAAAATCTTCCTGTTTATGTTTCCTGTGGCCTCACAGCGGAGTTGAACACCATTGCTGCCCTGATCTCCAACTTCTTTTTGTGTTCCTACTGTCTGATCAACTTCAGCTGCTTTCATGCTTCAATCACCAATTCCCCAGGTGAGTCGTTCATGCTTTTGGTGCTAGACAGAGGTGTGGACTCGAGTCACATGACTTGGACTTGAGTCAGACTCGAGTCGTTATTTTAATTACTTCTGGCTTGACTTGATAAAATCTATGAAGACTTACCTCTTGGCTCGAACTTGAATGCCAATGACTTGCGACTTGAATCGACTTGTATCTGTTGACTTGATGATGACTTGAGCATATTTGATATTTTAGCACTAAAGTGGAACAACATGGACAAAAATCATCAATCATTCTTGGTTCTGGGTTTGATTTACTGCGAAAAGCAGCAGCACTTTGTTTATAATCAGTTTCGGTTTCTGCTTGTTTGAGCAAATAAATGAAGCTTTAAGAAGCTTTTATTCTGGAATTTAATTATTATCATCATCATTAAAATGAAGTTGAACAGATGACTTGATTATTCAAATTCAAATAAAAAAAAACTTTAATCATCCCTGAGGAGCAATTGTTTCAGTACAGACAATTCCAAGATCAGACATACATACAAAGACACATGACAAGAATTGGTGAGCGTGGTCATTCGCAACACGAGTCGCACTACCGTTATAGATCAAGAGGGTTTATGTGAGGATAGAGTCAGGGGGAGGGGAAAAAGGGCACGTCAGAGTTACCCCCGACAGAGAGGATAGCTTTGCTATGAAAAAAACACCTCAGACAGAAATGCACACAGACTTCAGACGATACACAACATGAGTGTCCACTAGGTGGGCAGGTAGGTTGGGACCGTCCTCACATCAGAGCGTGCAGCCGCAAGAGCAGCGCTCATCACCTCCGTTTGGACAGGGGAGGGAGATAATGGGTTAGAGATCACATTGACTCCTAGATACGGTTCCACGGCCTTCACCGGTCACAGTCCCACCCAGGCTGGGATAGGGAGAAAGGGTTTCCATAGCAACGGCAGCATTCCACATTTCTTCTGAGGGGAGTTTTCACTTCAGCCTCACAGGCTTCAAGGGCACCAGATTCAGAAAACAAGAATTGTTTTGGGCACAGGCAGAGATGATTTCCTCTCTGCCTTACAGTTCTGTCGGTCTTCAACCCCTCCAGATCCGATAATGGCGTTATCAAACTATTCCGATCCGTGCTGATCCGTCAACTTTTTCCTTGATAGAATCCACCTTCTGTGCCAGAGCCTGAATCTGAGCCAAAGGTCCAAGCTTACGACTCATCTCGACAATTATATGAGTTTGTGAGTTTACAGCACGATGCATTCCTTCCCTGAGCTCCGGGATTGAGCCAATATTCCTTGAAAGCTCATTAATTTTCCGGTACGGCAGGTAGCCGCTCAGGCCAAACAGCAGGAATCCCGACACCAACACGACGAATATCCAGACATCTTTAGAATCCTCTACAGACAGTTGAGAGAGGCAGATCAGGTTCCACTGTTTCCAGGAGTCCATGATATGCCCAGCTGGCTCTGTCCCAGAGGGGCATCCGGGAGCCCCTTCTCCCGATCTCATCGTTGAAAAGATTTTGTCAATCGCGTTGAAAGACCGACTGACCAGATCCATGTTTAATCATTTCCAGTTTCCAGAAGAAATGCAGAGAAGCGCCGTGCACAGGCAGACAGGACAGAGAGCCTTGGGACGAGCAGGGAGGGAGAGGAGAAAAAAGCGTCTGTACTCTTCAAGAGCCGGAAGAAGAATTATGACTTGAAAATTCAAAGTTAAGGACTTGGACTTGACTTGGTCTTCCACATCATTGACTTTGGACTCCACTTGGACTTGGTTGTCTTTGACTTGACTCGAGACTTGACTAAAAAGACTTGTGACTTACTTGTGACTTGCAAGTGAGTGACTTGGTCACACCTCTGTTAGTTTTAACGGTGATTCAACACACCTGATTCCAATCAGCGAGTGATTAACAGACTTCAGCAGAGCCTGATGAGCTGCTGCACAGGTGATTCAACGACTGAATCTGGCGAGTTGGAGCAGAGAAACCTCTAAAACATGCTGGATACCAGCCCTTTAGGACCAGGATTGGGCACCCCTGAGCTTCAAGGCTCAGGAACCCTTTGTAAGTGTTCTGGATTCATCAGCTGATTGGAGTGTGACACTGAGTCTAGAATATTGGACTTGACTGGAAAGACTTGTGACTTACTTGTGACTTACTTGTGACTTGGTCACACCTCTGGTGCTAGAGTTTACCTAACATGATCTGATGTGTCCTTCGTAAACAGTGTATAAACATCTAACCAATCAGCTCCGTAAAGCCAAGTTTTCAGAAGAGAATTAAACAGATCTTCATGAGGTTCCCTTAGTTCCATGACTACCAACACTGTAACATCCATTCTTTCTTCCATGATAAACTCTTTCATGTCTTTCATTGGTGCTTCTTCCAGGGTGGAGGCCGTCGTTTCACTATTACAGTAAGTGGGCGGCTCTGTTTGGGGCGATGGTCGCTGCTGTTCTGATGTTCTTGTTCACTTGGTGGGCAGCTCTGGTAACCTGGTGCATCATACTCTTCCTCTTTGGATACGTCAACTACAACAAACCCAGTGAGTCTGCAAAGGAAACTGTGTTATGTTGTTTCCCTGGGAGATTGTTTTATAGTGAGCAGAGGATAAAGACAGAAATGTTTTTTTTCCCTGTTTTTAAAGGTGAACTATGTAAAAATGGAGTAATAGTGACATTCTGCGGTCAGATTTGGTTTCTGCAGTTTCAGTTTCTCTGGGTTGCTGATTAGGGATAGGAAACTAAAGTTTTTATGTTTTACTATCCATGAAACACTATCTGTGTTTTTACAATTATGATCTACTTCAAAAAACATATATACTATACCGTACAACGTATATTTCTTTAACACATTTTAACCCTTTAAAACCAGCGTGAGTGCCGGCGCTCCCATTTGCACATCTGTGTTCAAATGCTTGTAGAACTAAAACTACATGAGATAGAACAACATTTTTTTTACATATTAAACTGGAGGAGAACAATTAAATCTCACACACTGAACATGTCCCGTAGCACTGAGTATTTCTGCTAAGGAGTTTGCAAAAAACAACCAAAATGCGCAAATAAGAAAAGCGTTTTCATTCAGACACAGACGCTGTGTCGTTCTGATCTGCAGCTCACACGGCTTCACACGCTAGAATAAACGTCATCACGCTGTCAACGTGAACTGTCACATGATTATCACTCACCCAATCACCTGCTTTGATGGCATTTTCCTGTGAATTGTAGTTCTTTGTAGTCCCAGTCTTTCGGCTTTTTCTTGTGCTTTTTTGCAATACAAACACATCCGACACACGTCACACACCCACTACAAACTTCCGACACACATCACACACCCACTACAAACACATCCGACACACGTCACACACCCACTACAAACACATCCTACACACGTCACACACCCACTACAAACACATCCTACACACGTCACACACCCACTACAAACTTCCGACACACATCACACACCACTACAAACTTCCGACACACGTCACACACCCACTACAAACTTCCGACACACATCACACACCACTACAAACTTCCGACACACGTCACACACCCACTACAAACACATCCTACACACGTCACACACCCACTACAAACACATCCTACACACGTCACACACCCACTACAAACTTCCGACACACATCACACACCACTACAAACTTCCGACACACGTCACACACCCACTACAAACTTCCGACACACATCACACACCACTACAAACTTCCGACACACGTCACACACCCACTACAAACACATCCTACACACGTCACACACCCACTACAAACACATCCTACACACGTCACACACCCACTACAAACTTCCGACACACGTCACACACCACTACAAACTTCCGACACACGTCACACACCCACTACAAACTTCCGACACACGTCACACACCCACTACAAACTTCCGACACACGTCACACACCCACTACAAACTTCCGACACACGTCACACACCCACTACAAACTTCCGACACACGTCACACACCCACTACAAACACATCCGACACACGTCACACACCACTACAAACTTCCGACACACGTCACACACCCACTACAAACACATCCTACACACGTCACACACCCACTACAAACTTCCGACACACGTCACACACCCACTACAAACTTCCGACACACGTCACACACCCACTACAAACTTCCGACACACGTCACACACCCACTACAAACTTCCGACACACGTCACACACCCACTACAAACTTCCGACACACGTCACACACCCACTACAAACTTCCGACACACGTCACACACCCACTACAAACTTCCGACACACGTCACACACCCACTACAAACACATCCTACACACATCACACACCCACTACAAACTTCCGACACACGTCACACACCACTACAAACACATCCTACACACGTCACACACCCACTACAAACACATCCTACACACGTCACACACCCACTACAAACTTCCGACACACGTCACACACCCACTACAAACACATCCGACACACATCACACACCCACTACAAACACATCCTACACACGTCACACACCCACTACAAACTTCCGACACACGTCACACACCCACTACAAACACATCCTACACACGTCACACACCCACTACAAACACATCCTACACACGTCACACACCCACTACAAACTTCCGACACACATCACACACCACTACAAACTTCCGACACACGTCACACACCCACTACAAACTTCCGACACACATCACACACCACTACAAACTTCCGACACACGTCACACACCCACTACAAACACATCCTACACACGTCACACACCCACTACAAACACATCCTACACACGTCACACACCCACTACAAACTTCCGACACACGTCACACACCACTACAAACTTCCGACACACGTCACACACCCACTACAAACTTCCGACACACGTCACACACCCACTACAAACTTCCGACACACGTCACACACCCACTACAAACTTCCGACACACGTCACACACCCACTACAAACTTCCGACACACGTCACACACCCACTACAAACACATCCGACACACGTCACACACCACTACAAACTTCCGACACACGTCACACACCCACTACAAACACATCCTACACACGTCACACACCCACTACAAACTTCCGACACACGTCACACACCCACTACAAACTTCCGACACACGTCACACACCCACTACAAACTTCCGACACACGTCACACACCCACTACAAACTTCCGACACACGTCACACACCCACTACAAACTTCCGACACACGTCACACACCCACTACAAACTTCCGACACACGTCACACACCCACTACAAACTTCCGACACACGTCACACACCCACTACAAACACATCCTACACACATCACACACCCACTACAAACTTCCGACACACGTCACACACCACTACAAACACATCCTACACACGTCACACACCCACTACAAACACATCCTACACACGTCACACACCCACTACAAACTTCCGACACACGTCACACACCCACTACAAACACATCCGACACACATCACACACCCACTACAAACACATCCTACACACGTCACACACCCACTACAAACTTCCGACACACGTCACACACCCACTACAAACACATCCTACACACGTCACACACCACTACAAACTTCCGACACACGTCACACACCACTACAAACTTCCGACACACGTCACACACCCACTACAAACTTCCGACACACGTCACACACCCACTACAAACACATCCTAAACACGTCACACACCCACTACAAACACATCCTACACACGTCACACACCCACTACAAACTTCCGACACACGTCACACACCCACTACAAACACATCCTACACACGTCACACACCCACTACAAACTTCCGACACACGTCACACACCCACTACAAACACTTCCTACACACGTCACACACCACTACAAACTTCCGACACACGTCACACACCACTACAAACTTCCGACACACGTCACACACCCACTACAAACTTCCGACACACGTCACACACCCACTACAAACACATCCTACACACGTCACACACCCACTACAAACACATCCTACACACGTCACACACCCACTACAAACTTCCGACACACGTCACACACCCACTACAAACACATCCTACACACGTCACACACCACTACAAACTTCCGACACACGTCACACACCCACTACAAACACATCCTACACACGTCACACACCACTACAAACTTCCGACACACGTCACACACCACTACAAACTTCCGACACACGTCACACACCACTACAAACTTCCGACACACGTCACACACCACTACAAACTTCCGACACACATCACACACCACTACAAACTTCCGACACACGTCACACACCCACTACAAACTTCCGACACACATCACACACCCACTACAAACACATCCTACACACATCACACACCCACTACAAACTTCCGACACACGTCACACACCCACTACAAACTTCCGACACACGTCACACACCCACTACAAACTTCCGACACACGTCACACACCCACTACAAACTTCCGACACACGTCACACACCCACTACAAACACATCCTACACACATCACACACCCACTACAAACTTCCGACACACATCACACACCCACTACAAACTTCCGACACACGTCACACACCCACTACAAACTTCCGACACACGTCACACACCCACTACAAACACATCCTACACACGTCACACACCCACTACAAACACATCCTACACACGTCACACACCCACTACAAACACATCCTACACACGTCACACACCACTACAAACTTCTGACACACGTCACACACCACTACAAACTTCCGACACACGTCACACACCCACTACAAACTTCCGACACACGTCACACACCCACTACAAACACATCCTACACACGTCACACACCACTACAAACTTCTGACACACGTCACACACCACTACAAACTTCCGACACACGTCACACACCCACTACAAACTTCCGACACACGTCACACACCCACTACAAACACATCCTACACACGTCACACACCACTACAAACTTCTGACACACGTCACACACCACTACAAACTTCCGACACACATCACACACCCACTACAAACTTCCGACACACGTCACACACCACTACAAACTTCCGACACACGTCACACACCACTACAAACTTCCGACACACGTCACACACCACTACAAACTTCCGACACACGTCACACACCACTACAAACTTCCGACACACATAACACACCCACTACAAACTTCCGACACACGTCACACACCCACTACAAACTTCCGACACACGTCACACACCCACTACAAACACATCCTACACACATCACACACCCACTACAAACTTCCGACACACGTCACACACCCACTACAAACACATCCGACACACATCACACACCCACTACAAACTTCCGACACACGTCACACACCCACTACAAACACATCCTACACACGTCACACACCCACTACAAACTTCCGACACACGTCACACACCCACTACAAACACATCCGACACACATCACACACCCACTACAAACTTCCGACACACGTCACACACCCACTACAAACACATCCTACACACGTC